CAATGAACAGTAATTTTTTTCAACCTGTTCAAATTTGAATTTTTACAGAAATCTCCATCTCCTAATTGAAGGCTTGTAATTTTTAGGACTGTGTGTGTGTGTGTGTGTGTGTGTGTGTGAGTATTCACATCATTCTTTACTGTGTAGTACTGTAGTTATGTGGAGGTGGGGTAGTGGTGGGTTTTTATTTTAGAGATTTTGCAGATAATGCTGTTTTGAATTTCTGACAATTGACAAGGATTCAAATGTAATTATATCATGTGAATATGAGACGTTATAATAATAGTACAAGACTGACTGCTGGGGAGGAAAGAGCTTTTAGATCTTGATTTGAAATCTGTTTTCTCTTTTAGGTAAACACTGCCACCATTAGTTAGCACATCAGGTGAAACATTATTTCTTAGCTGTGAGCAATCTGCTTTAGTAGGAGAAAGTGAAATGCAGATGATGCTATGGATATGACATGAAAAAAAACATATTCAATAATGCAATCAGATTCATATGGGTATATACAGACTTTGCTTTTCATGACTGGCAATGAATACATGCAACAGTCTTTCTTTTGTCTTGTGTTTTTATATAAATGTTTTTATGTACACACACATACACACAAATATATAAACACAAACAGTGAGCTTAAATAAAAAAAAATATTTGAGTGCATTAAGTATTTTAAAAACTTTTGAAGAAGAGACATTTCAAAGTGCATCTTTAAAAAGGATTGTTTAGAATGCATGTGAAATATATTTAGTGGTGAGTTAGTGCTTTAAATGTGTTTAATTTTGCAAAAAGACACTATTAAAGAAACAGATACTGAATGAACTGATCTCGTCATTTTGCAAGTGAGACAAAACATTTTAAAATTGGGTTGCCATCACAATAAATAAAAAAAAAAAAGAAGTTGTATTTCTAATGAAACCAATGCTGACACACAAAAAATAGCTGTTTTTTTTTTAAATAAAAAAACTAGTTAAATTTAGTTTGAGCTTAAAAATTATATGAAGTTTGTACCCTGATATGTAGTTATTAATTGAACTTTGACCTGAAATTTTCATTGTATAATGTTTGATACATGTGAGTAATATTCACTGCTGAAGTTGACAAGGGAGGAGATTATATTGAAAAATATTTCTTATGTAAAATAAATGCTTTTTCTTTTTTCATCATTAGGCTACAAATTGATGAACCTATGTATTGTTTTAAAATTTCTTAACATTTATCTACTTATGAAATTTTAAGCTTTTCAAAAGTTGGCTGTCACATTCCCAATTCTTTCTTTATAGGAAATGAATAATGGTTTATACTTAGTGTAAATTCCATTTATTACATTTTTTCTTCACTCTGATATGCACAAATATAACATCTTATTTTTGTATGTATGGAACCCACTCTAAGTTGTTTGATTTCTGAATTGCCTCCCAGTTTACCTGTGCTGAGAGTTATAGTTAAAAATAATATTATTCCTAATATCTGAGCACTGAACATATGTTGGGATCTTCCTTTTGGTTATAGAAAGAGAACATCATCTGTTTGCCTCCTTTCTCTTCCCCTTGAAAATGAAAACAACTGGCATTATGCAAACAATTATTGTTTGTACAGCTTTGTTTAATTTCCATCTTCATCTGTGCAAGTGTTGTGCATATTGTCTGACTACATCAAAGCAGTGATAAGAAGTGCTCACTTTACAGTTATCTGCTAGACAGCTGCTGGTCTCGGAATTGAATGCAAGAAAAAATTAGAGCTTAAGAAAATGTTGAAATAATAAGGACGATGATGATGATTATGAAAAAGATTAAGACTTTTTGAAAAGAAATACATATCATAGGTTTTATAAAATATGAAAAGTTCAATTTAGAGAATATTGAGCCAAGAAGTCAGACACTACTACTAGCACCATTGATTCTATTAGTAATAATGATGATAGGTATAGATGTATAAAATGCAATAATAATATGTAATAATCATAAAATATAACTTGAATTATTAAAATTAATCTTCATATGATTTTCTAAATAATTTATTTTCTCATTCTTTTTATACAAGATGAATTGTGAAGATGTATTAAAAAGAAGAGCAGTCATTGTGTATATTATTCATTTTATTATATGGAGAAATCTGAGAGACTGAACAATTCATGAGAAATTCACTGATGATTGTATCTAGCCGGAAAATTATCATAATATGTATGTGAATGATGATGATGATAACAACTAAGAATAACATTGACAATGTTACAGCAGAAATGATGAAATTAACAGCTGTAAATTTTCTATGGAATCGGTAGCATCTGAAGTTTATCATTATTTCATTAAGAATGAAAATGAATAAATAAAGCATAACAAATAATAAATAGTTGATGGCAGAGAAAGAACTGATTTTGTTTCATACAGATTATAAGTTGTATGTTTACCCACAATGCATCTTTCCCACTCAACCCCTTCTAATTGTTCAATCGTCAAAGTCTCTCGTATTCATTCACTTTTATTTATTGGCACGTCTTTCTACGCCCTTCCCATCACCATCAGTCACATGGCTCTGTTTAATTTTTGAATGTTAATTTATTTTCCCTTGTTTAGTGTTAGGAAGAAAAAAAGAAAAGATGTCTGATGTCCAGAACCATTTTGTGCTTAACTTTAAGCAGATGTGGAAATTGTCTTTCTATGCAAAAGCGACATTGGAATCTTTTTGAAGTTTTGTGAAAAGAAAAGAAAACATGTGCTTTTAATTGTTTGGAAGGAATATAATGAATGAAAAAAAAGAGAGAGAAATGTTCTTGTACATCTGCAAGAATATTGTTTAAAAATGTTTCATAAAAGAATATAAAAAAAAAGCAAAATTGGAAAAGTGGGAAACAGCTCAACTATAAATGGTCCTTCATTTACTAAAAAACTGTCATTTGTCTTTGGTATTTGCTGCTGTTAAAATTCACAATTTTTTATCTTCTTTTGAAGAATTTTTTCTTGGTTATGCAGGTGTGAGTAAATGGTTGAGTATTTTATATTCCATGAATTAATCTCAATAAAATCATTGAAGAAGAACTCTGTTTTTTTTTTATTAAATGTTTTTAAAGGTGTCAGTTAAAACATTTTACTAAATACAGTCATTGACCAAAGACTGCTTGTCTCTCCTGAAAATCTGTCACACCATCAAGCTTTACAGGATGAGCAATTGTCTTCTCAGGGCAACAAAGTCAGCAAATAATCTTGTGTAGGCATTATTTTGGCCACACTTTTCCTCAAGATATTAGTATCTCAAAATTTTTATTCTAGACAATCACAGTTACTGGTGTCTGGGTGAAACTTTGAAAAATGAATAAATAAAATATTTTCACTGACTTACATTGAACCAGCATGCAGTAATTGGTCCAAATTTTCTCACCAATCAAAGAGACAGTTGGGAAGAGTTACATAAACTCTGCCTTATCACTTGGATAGCAATGAAGATTTCATGAATTATAAAAATTTTAATGCCAAAATGTAAAGTTTGTTGTGAATTTTTATAATAGAACATTTACACATTACCTTGTTTACCAGTCTAATGTTCTAACAGCTAATCATTGTCAAGTGGTCAGGTCTCAGTGTTCAGCAGGCTAGTTTTTTTCTTCTCTTCATCACTATTTATCTTCTAACATTTTTTGATGTGATTGAAAATAAGTATCAAATAATCACACAAGATAAAATAAATGAAATTAACTATTTTTTACATTCATAAACTTGTGTAATGGATTTTACAAGTACAAAAATAAGTACTAGAGAAAAGGTTTTGACTATTGTTTGCTCCAATATCTTTGCTTTAGATGAATTTGTAGTTACCATTTTTGGTCACTCAGTAGAAATCCTGGCATCCAGTTTTCTTTTGCAACTACTAGGGGAGTGTTTTTTGAGAAAACAGTGAGACCATTTTTAAGAAAATGTAATCTAGGGATTTCTGGAATGAAGAGCTATCATTATTTACATTTGGATTTATGCCCCCGTAAATAATATCACAATGTTTCGTCCATTGTACCTTTTGGTCTTCTTCAGATGTCTGCCAATCTGTATAACCTTCAGAAATTTAAAACTGAGCACTTTAATTAATTTATTGCAGTGGATCATTCTTGTTCGATTGTTCATGTGTAGGGATATCTTACCTTGCTCTCTATTAAGTATTGCACTTTTGAGTCTGAATCTGTTCTGCCAAGGGACTGAACTCACAATTACAATGCCACCGAATTCACGAACCAATGTTCTAAATTATTGTCCCATAAAATGTAGTGATAATAACAATAAAGATGCGGTTATTAGTGTATATAGATAAAAAATATTTAAAGTAAATTTGGTTTCTTTTCTATGACTTACAGAGCATTGCAGATTTTTGTGTTTGACAACTTCATTTGCAGAATAAGCAATAAAATATTGTTCCATGATAAGCTTTTGAATGAAGGAATTTTAACTGATTTAGAGAGGAATGAGTGCTGTCACTTAACACCTATTTTTGCTTTTTTATATTTAATTTATCACAGAAATTATGCTTGCTCTGTTAACTTGACTGTTGTGAGTTAACATTAATACACCAACAAGCCTCCTGTTAGCTATAGGGACAGATGAAGCTGGTTTCTGTATTTTTCAGAGAAGCCTTTTATAAAAGCATGATAAATCTAAAAAGCACTAAAAGTGAAATATAAATGCCAATTGTTTAAATGATAGAATGAACCAAGAGGAAAAAAAAAAGATTTTTGAGAAGTTACAAAACAGACACAGACATGCACTTTAACTTGTTTAATACTTTAAGCAGTAGAAGAGAAAAAATGCTGTAGTAAAGTAGAAAATTTTCTTTTCCAAGATTCGCTTCATTCTCTTGGGATATTTTCCCCAGATCTTTTCCAACTTAAGCCGACAGCTGCCATATTTGCTTGTTTCTCATTCAAGCTAAACTCAAAGTGACTAAAATGAAATTTGAATACAACTCTATATAATTGTATCAATTTGGTGTTTATTTTTATTGATGTTTGTTTATTACAGGCTTCATGGTATGTCCAGACTTTACTTTATTCAGTGTGCAAAGAAATAAACAGAGTGGCAGGACATGCAGTGAAAAGGTAGGTGATTCCAATTCTTTTCTCAGTTCTGTCAAGATAATGCATATATCATCTCATCATTTGAACAAATATTTTTCAAAGAAACAAAAGGACAGTCTTGTTCATAGTAGAAACACAATTAATTTAATACTGCTTGGCGTTATATAATTCACACACACAGGGTATGATGAATAAATTGTTGGCATTTTATATTTTTCATTTTTAGCATATGCATTGTTTGTTTTTGATTTTTGATTTGTACAGTATAGTAGAGTCAGTTGGGCACAGTCTGTGAAAAAAAAAAAAACCATCACACAATTCACTCCACCAGAAATTTGGAAATGGCATGCTGTAATGCTTGGCATTCATACCAGAAGCTCCAATATGAACATTTCAGCATGTTTGGGTGTCAATCTGAGAACAGTCCAGAGGATTCGGAAAGAATTGGATGATATATCAAAAGTCAACACCATGGTGTTTGGAGTGATCAATAGTGATGGTGATGTTATGCCTTCATTCACCTTCCCACAGGGCCTCACACTCAACACTGAGGTCTACATCAAGTGTCTTGAGGAAGTAGGGCTGCCTTGGGTCAAGATGGTGGCTGTTGGAAGAACCTATGTTTAGTAACAGGATTATGCACCATGCCACACAAGCAGGAGAACCTGGTCATGGCTGTCAGACAATTTATGTGACCATATCACCCATGATATCTGGCCACCTAAGTCCCCAGACTGCAACCCCATTGATTATTATGTCTGGGGTGCAGTTGAGTGAGAGACCAACAAAACTCCTTGTAACACCAAAGATGAACTGAAGGCAATGATTATGGCAGCATTCACCAACTTAAACAAGGAGGCTGTTTAGAAGAGTTGCAGGAGATTCAAAATCTGGAAGCTATGGGTGAAGCCAATGGTGATTTTATTGAATAAATTTACTCTTTAGTATTTCAAGACATTTTTGTGTGATTTTGGCAAACATATCTGTTACAATGAGATGTCAGTGTTATTTTCATTTTTGTGTAATTTAGACAGCAATTTAACAGTCACACTCAGTGTGTGTATATATATATATAAATATATATATATATATATATATATATATATATTTATTTTTAAATTTCAGATATACATCTCAAGCTACAGTAATAGTTTGGTAGTAAAATTAAGGATTTCTTAGTTTTCTGTGAATTGATTTTGATAAAATTTTTCCCAGCTGGTTTGCACAGTATGGCAACACCATTGTTTGGTTTTCATTATTCTGTGTAATGTCCTTTATTTTTTTCATTTCAGATTCAACAGTTTTTGGGTGAACCATGCTAATAGTTTTGAATGAAAATAGCCCATCTAGATATTTTTGGAAGAAAATGAAGGATGATGATACATATTAAGCATACCTTTATTATGTATTTAACAGAAAACATTTATGAATTATTTGACTACATGAGCACCATTTCAACGGATAACTTCAAAAACTCTATTAGTTATGGAATCTGTCAAATTTTTATCATAGCAGGTTGGACTGCCTCTGCTGCAGCTTTGATGGTCACCCATAAGCTATCTTTTGATGTAAATTGTTGTCCATTGCCATAAACATCTTGTTTAATGATGGACTAAAGATTTTTGATATGGTTGAGATCTGGAGAGGCAGGTGACCACACCATCAACATTTTGCCCTATATGCCATAAGAGCCTAAGAATGCTTTGGTGACCCTGGCATAGTGGGAGAGAGCATTGTCATGCATGAATACTAGAGTCCTTAGAAGTGACAGTGGTATGTCATCTTGTCATTAAGAGATTGCAGGAGTCAGCTGCAATCATTTTAAAGACTTCAGGCACCATGACTGGGCCAACAAGTTTGTCTCCAAAGATGCCAGCCCACAACATGACTCCTCCACCCTCATGTTGACGTTGTAAATGTTGGTGATGCTCATCTCCAAAATAGACCCAACCATTTGCCCAACTGTCAGGTCTGTCAAGAGTTGCCCTGGTCTCATTTGTGAACAGAACACAACTCATGTCCAATTTCATGTACTTCCGAGCCCACGTAACAGGGGCATTAGAGGAGGCAGTTTCAAGGGAGCTTCTCTGGAAGCCATGGTCCTGAGGATGTGAATTCTGGTGGTTTTCGGTACATGAGGAAGTCCAGTGGCTGTGAAAATGGCTTTGCTTGTTTCTCTGGGTTTCCCACATGACTTTCGGATAATATTCCTTAAATCCATAGCTGTCACAATCTTGGAGTTCCCACAATTGGATCATTTCTTCATTGGCAAAGTATGATCCAGGAATTGTGTAACCAAGTCCACATGACAATCTAACTTCTCTGCAATGACATAAAGAGAGGTGCCTTTAGCACTTTCCTTGATGATGACTCTTTTCTATGTCCTATTGTTTTTAGAAAACCTTATTAGTGTGGTTAACCCAAAAACTGTTGAATCTGAAATAAAAAAGTATGTTACACAGAATCATAAAAACCTAACACTGGTGTTGCCAAATTGTGCAGACCAGCTTGGAAAGGTTTTATCAAAATCAATTCAAAGAAAACCGAGAAATCCTACATTACGAAGGTATTAGCATGGCTTGGGGTCTCTCTCTCTCTCTATATATATATATATATATATATATATATATATATATATATTAATTTTATACATATAAAAATTGTTATAAGTAAGATGTAACCTTAAAAAGAGACAAGATATTTAAAGTTATTGAGTAATGGTAACACAATGTTGACAATCAGAAAAGTTGAATGGAAATCATGGAACAATCAAAAGAGAAATTGAAAAAATTGACAAGATAAGAACAAAAAAAAACAAGTGGTTATTAAAAAAAGAGATTTGAGAAAAAATGAAAAGGATAATAAATAAGAAAATGGATTGGCAAATAAGAAGATATTTGAAGAGGTTGATGTTGCAACAAGAAACTGAAAGAAAAAAGATAAAGAATAGAATGTTGGATAAAAACATGGAAGTAACTAAACTACCAAATTTAAGAAATGTGTAAGTTGAATGAAGAAATACATGAAAACTGATTCCTCAAAAAATTTAATGATGAATTTAGAACTATATTGGATTGACCTGATGCCAAGGATATGGGTGGAGGTCCTTCAGTAGTTAACAAATACAAGTTAAAAGATGATGGTAGGGAAATAGAGTAATGTCTGGGACTAGTATCATAGGCAGGTATTATAGGTATCTGAAAATTTGATATGCTTTAAAATATTAAATTATGGTTTGTCATTGGATACTTTCCTTTTAACTTATTGACTTTGGTTAAATGCAAATCAATTGTTTCAGAACACTAAGATACTTTAAGGATTTTACTACTTTAAAATAGCATTGTTCATTTCCATGGCTATCTTTTATAGTCATTATTGTCATTGTCTTCTTTTGTCTTTGAAATTGTGCTTTTATATACAAGATAATATTCATCTTTAAAAAGACTCCTAATGGAGTAAAATCAGTTTACATACTTGATAACAGAGATTGAAGCATAGACCTTGAGTTGTTTACTTTATATGTATTACTTTGTTAGATTGTATTATTAATCAAATCAATATTTCATAATAAAATTGGCATTAATTGACCAATGTTAGTAAATTTTCAGGATATATTTATATAAACAATATATTGTGAGAATTTTAGCTTATTGTATCTGTGCTTATTAAAAATAGTGATAATTTGTTTTGGGGTGTCAGCATTTATTTTGCCAACAAAGGCCAATATAAACCCAAAACATGTAAACCATAGAAACATATATCTGGTTAACATATATATCTCATATACCTGACTAAATTAATATTTCATTATTTTACATGTTGTTTTGGGCACCTTGACATTCTATGAACTTCATCAGTTTTTTTATCATTGTTTTTTTTTAATTTTTTTTACTGATTCAACTTTAACATTACTTGTAGCAGTTTTTATTGCTTTCCAAAGATCTTGTCTTCAATGTTGTTTTCCATCCTCATACACAACTCTTTTTCTTTTCAAATGAACTGTAATTTTTTATTGGAAAGGTTGACTCCATTCCATTAATTTGTTATAGTTGAAAACTTTTTAGCAAGATGTGGCAATAGTCACTATTTCAGAATTTGAAGGAGCATTGTCTTCCATGAATATACCATTGACTTTGCAGGGACCTATAATTTTACTGCTTACAAAACTAGTCTCAAACATTATTCCATCTCCCCTCTGTTATTTCTTGAGTTGTGTTGACTGACAATTTCCATGAAACATTCAGTCACTAGCTCAGCCATTAGGTCCATCCAATGTAGTTTTACATTAATCATTAAAAATTACTACTGAGAAGTTACTTCTTTGCATTTCTCTTTATGATGTTTAAGTTAGGTTATTTTTATGTCTTTAGCCAATGTATTTAATATTCTGCATCTCTTTTCTCTCTTCTATATGCAATACCAGTGTCTTCAAGATTTTTATTTCTGTCCAATTCACTTTTCTTGCTTATTATCCTTTTAAATTTTTTCAAATTTCCTTTGGTGACATTCTTAAGGCCAGTTTTATTTTCTTGCTCTTATCTTAATTGTTTTTGTTGTTTTATTGTTTCTGTTCAACTTATCTGTAATTTGTTTTCATGACTCAGTAATTTTACATCTTATTTCTCTTTGGAAGTTACATCTCTCTCATGTCCCATCAAAATCTTTATATATTTGAAATTAAAAAATAAACCTAAAAAGTTATACTATTATATACATTTTTTATTATGCAATGAACAGCCCTTGAGTTGCATAATAAAATCACACATAACAAAATAAGTTATAAATATTTCTAAGAAAAACAGATATTATAAGGGGAAATGTATCCATAAAAACTTCCCAACATTGGCTAGTTAATACCAATTTTATTGTGAAACATTGGCTTCCTGAATAATTTTTGACAGTGTAGAAGACTGGAGTAAGAAATTATTTTTACACTTTATATGATTTACTTTAATTCTCTCCTTAATAATGTTTTCTTTTTATCATATTTTCTCACATTCAGTAACCCCTTGCATCTTAGT